TAACCCATTGTCTCTAGCATCAGGGAGCAGGCCCCCCCCCTCCCCCGTGGTGGGATGAGACAGCAGGTCTGGCAGCAAGTATCTGACTCCCCCCCCACAATGGATGACAGGGAAAGCCCCCAATCCATTTCCAGGGTCTCTTTGTGGATTAAGCCTCCAGATGAGCCTCCTCTGACCATAGGCCAGGAATGTGAATAGGTTTGCTATCAAACAGTACACTGGAGAGTGGGTTAATGCAGCTGTAGTTAGGCTAAAATTTAACACATTATCATTTGACCCATTTAAAATTTGTTCTAGTTTTTATTATTTCCTGTTTTCTTTTCACTTGATTTTTTGTTTTATTTCATTATTGTTGTTTTCTGATTTTTTTCTTTGTATAAAAGGGAGGCTAGATAAATCTATAGAGACAGCAATTGGAGTATAGTGTCTTAGTGTCTTACATTAAGTGGATTACAGTGTTTTAGGCTGGGAGGTTGGGGGGAAATTGGGAGCTAACAATAGTGAGAAATAGAAGAAATTGTTCTAAAATTGATTGTGGTCATGTTTGTCTTTTTAATATGACCAAACCATTGAATTGTATGATAAGTGAATTATATGTCAATAAAACTGCTAAAATAAGATTCCTGGGGGCACAGTGGCTCACCTGCGGCTGCTAATGGAAAGGACAGCCCTTGTAGGCCACCAGCGCTCTGCAGGAGAACGATGTGGCTGGCTGCCGGGTAAAGACTGGGCGCCGACTGGGCGCCGGGGCAGTGCAAGTCTGTCCTGTTGGTGGTGATGAATTGGAATCTATTCAAGGAACATAAAAACAGCTGACATAGCAGAAGGAAGCATGGTTCAGCCCCGCGCCACCTTCGTGACCCTTGGCATGGTTGAATCCCTGGAGTTTATTAACTTTCTTGAAGGCAGTGAGAGACCCTTTCCCCAGCAGTTAGGTACAGAAGAACATTGCGTCTTATCACCGCTGCACCCCCCCCAATCCTAGAACACGGTAGGTGGCAGTTAATCGAAAGAGCCCCTGCGAAGGTCACCCACGCACCCTTTATACCCCCCACTTCTTCCGAGCCTTTGCTCGGGAGCAGCCACCGCAGCCCAGGGGACCGGGGCGCGCGCGTGCC